GCTGGGCATTACCACTACAGAAACAATAAATAACAGCAGGAGGTGAGGGAAAGGGGAGTCTTAGATTTGTGGAAACTTTGCAAATAGGTTTTGTTTTCCTAAACATAAAACTTGAAGCACTTAAGGTACATGGTGCACATCTCCTCCTCCATCTCTTCTCTTTCCCCTTTACTGTCCAATTACCCTGATATATTGCATAAGAAAAAATCCTTCTACAGGTTCCTCTTGCACTGACCTTAGATCAGTGATTCTTAACCAAGATGCCACCAGATCATGCTGCAAGGTGTGAGGAGGTAAGTAGGTAAGTGCAGGCTGAGGCTCCTCCTTGCCTGAGCAATCCTCCATCTGCACTTCCTATCCTCTCTGCAAGGAGGTAAGCATGGTAATAGTAATATATACATTTGTTTTTTAAATTGGGCGCCACACAATTCACAAAAGCTATGAGGCTTATGAAGGGTGCCTCAAGTCTGAAATGATTGAGAACCACTGCTTAGGTGCTAACATGACCTAAAGTTCTGATGTTTATTAAAGGAATGCAGGAGGATTACCCACCTTATGAAACCAAAGAGTATAAGAAGTACTATACTGGGGTAGACCAGAGTTTTATCTATTCTAGAATCTCACAGTGATAGACAGTGACTGCTAAGGAGAACAGCATTTAAGCAGGGCATATTCAGACTGATCTGTTTCCTGCCCCTTCTCCTCCCACATCCTTTACCTTTCAGAGGCCTAGGAGGTCTTAATTCTAAGGTTGTCCCCTAACTATCGTGTTTAAGAGAGTTTGTTAAAAAAAGACTTAAGTTTCAAAGTGTGGTTAAAAACCCCAGCCTACCCCTACCACACATTTTCTTTCTTTTCTTTTCTGAAAGTTTGCCTGACAGCTCTCCCGAGTGTGTATTGCCCAACACATTGTACCTCAAACAAAGAAGTTGTTCCAATTCTATTAATGAAAATAATCCACTCCATACAATGCCATACTAACTCTTAACTATCTTAATGTACTCTGGGACTATATTTCTTTAGAAATCTTTGGTATATCTTTGTTATATGTTTGAATAATGATTATATAATGTTTAAGAGTATAAATTTAAGACCACTTGTGAAGTACAAGAATAGCAGCAAGGAGTGAAGAAGGATTGTATTGTAGCTAGAGTTTCCAACTGTCCTTTTCTTACCTGTTCTTTTTAACTGCTCTTTAATATTTTGTTCCTTTTTAATTTATAAAAAGGTATGACTGTTGTTTGGATTCCATTGTAACATATGTTTAATCATAACATTTCTTAAGCAAAATCTGTGAACATTAGCATAAAATGTATATGAATTATAATTTCCTTTTCTGCTTAAGGGTGGAATCCAGGTAATTAAAATAAATATTTTTATATAATGTTAATACTTATTGCAAAAACAAAATATTTTTAAGAGACCTTCAAATTATTTTTTAATTTGAAATTGTCCTTCATCTCTAAAAAAACATAAGAACCAAATCTATGGGTATAGAAATCTCTAAAATTACTTATACAGCATTATCAAACAGCATAATGTTGACATTTTTGTTGTTCTATAATACAGGGGTGTCAAATTCATTCAGCATCATGGGTCAGATGAGGAGTGTGAGGCTGGTCTCTGGGCTGCTTTGGACCCATGGATTAGCCTTATGCACCAGAGCCAGCACACAGCGCTGGTCTAGTCCAGAGCTTGCAAGTGAAGCTGGTATGGAGTATGCCATGCTTGCAGCACCCCCCTGGACCAGCCCTGTGCACTGGCTCCAGTGTGGGGCCAGTGTGAGGGCCCGATCTACATCAGCCTCAAAGCCAGCATGCAAGGCCAGTTCAGTGGGGTGCTACAGACAGCATGTGTGTCTGATTGTCCAGCCCCAGTTCAGAGCTTATGCTGCACATGCCACATGGAGCCAGTGCAGCGCCCATGCCAGAATGCCTCTGCCCACTGGCTCTGGAACATAGGATTGATCTGCGGGCCCAGTCCTGCTCCAGAGCCAGCACACAGGGCTAAACTGGTATGTGTGTTGCATTCAGTGCATGGGGGTGGGGAAAACACGTACTGCATACAGTGTGTGGGGTTGGTCTATGACTCACCGACCAGATCCTATGGCTTTTTGATCACAGGCTATATCTTTGACATCTCTGACTTAACCAAAGACACCATAGGGATACATAAGCCACATGAGGATAGGTGTATTTCCTGGCTTTTGAGTGTTAATGCAGTTTTGCCATTCGTTCTCTTCATGTGAGTTTTGTATTTAATGTATAACTGTATATTTTATACTGATGTGCCCACATATACTGGAGAATAGAGATTTAGCAGGTTTATGCATGTACATCCTGTCGATGTTATGTGCCTACTCTGTTCTTGTTGGTAAGCAGGCTAATGAAATGAAGAATCCTGCATGTCAGAAAACAGAAATTTTATGTTTTAATATCCAGTCTGCTTGAAAGAATACAGTAAACTGTCACAATGACAGCAGAAATCTACCACAAAATCCACCTTGCCCTATGGGCTCACCGTTGGTCATGCATTACAATAGATGGCATCTTAACAATGTTGCAAACCTTGTTTTGTGGAGTTTTTGTGAACTGAAAAAAAAATAACAGTAACACTACATACTTCCACAGCAGTTTATACCTAGCACTTCAAAGAACGTCACAAATTCTAATTCTCACCTTTAAGACAGATAAGTGTTAAGATCATTTGTTAGACAGGTAATCATGGGCCTGGCTACTTGAAAGGAACATCTCTGATATTTTTCATGGTTGCTAAAGCTCTTTTGTCTCCATGAGCATTAACGTCACTAGGAACCTGTCTGGCTGCTGTCTGTTGGAACTGTTTTAATGCCTTGTTATTTAAGGTGCAGACAGACAAAACAACTATGCCACTTTTGGCAGTTCTGCTGTAACTATTTCATCTGCACTGGCTATGCTGGGGTACATAGAAGCTAAACCACAATAATTACCCCCCCTCCATTTCCTTCAAGAGTAAATCAGCAGATCAGCCTCCCATAAAGTATGGGACAGGAGCAGACAGAAGAAACAGTTACAGACTGTGTCTACATTAGATGCTGACTGCTCAGTAGCTCATTACTACTGCGTAGTAGTGCCACATGGCATGCAGCGTGATGTGATGCTACTGCGCAGTAGTAATGAGCTACTGAGCAGTCAGCATCACCAAAGAGTTATTTGGGGATGCTACCATGCACTAACGCTGGTTACTGTGCAGTCATTTAGTACTTGGGTATGCAGCATCTTGTGTAGACACGGCCACAGTGGCTCAGCTGACTTTATTATGTTCGCTGTCCTTCCTTGACTAGCGAGAGCGAGCCAGAATGCAGAGAGCAGTGGTAGCGGCATGCAGCCAGTCGGCAGTCATCTTTCTCAGATTGCTAATGCTAGTAAAGAAGAACTGATATTATCAACTGAGGAAGGTTTGAAAGGTTGACGTGTATGCAGGGACTTGGTGGTTAAGTAACACCCCCCAAATCAGGGCCAGAGGAGTCCATCACAATACAGGCTTCCCTCACTTTATGCGGATTCTGTATGTGTGAATTTACTCTTATGTGATCATGAACGACATGTGCCCCTGGCAGCTGGGGGGGCACAGCAACAGCGTAAGAAGCACGGTGGCAGTAGGTGGGAGCTCCTGCAGATGCCCCCAGCACTGTCGACAAGCGGGGGAAGGGAGTGGTGAGTGCCAACCAGGGGTCAGCAACCACCTGCCAATACGGCTGGCAGCGTTGGCAGTGGTCAGTAGGGATCACTGACCGCCCGCAGATGCCAGCTGTGTCAGCAGCAGGGAGGGGTGATGGTGAGTGGTGACTGCCTGCAGGCGCTGTTGACGGCGCTTTTTCGTAGGGGGGTGCACCCACATGCACCTGCTACGCATCACCCCTGTATGCGATGATCTTTTTTATACCAAACATTTGTTATATGTGAGGGAAATTCAGTCTTATGTGATCGGTGTGGCGGAAACCCACAGTCAGCTGCTGTGTGGGGTGCAGTGTGGGAGAGAGACGCACCAAAATATAGTCTCCTGTGTGGATCTGTGCTCTTCGCTAGTTGACTGCAGTGTGTTTCTGTAGTTGCCGTCCCCATTATGATAGTGCCCCGAGCTTGTGTGTACTGCCTGCTGTTGGTGAGTACCAAAATGGTCTTGTAAAAGTGGTAGAAATGGGCCTGGGGGTCAGTACAGTCGAGGTCTTGGAAAGATTCCCTATTTGTTACATTGTAAAGTGGGTTCCCTTCATGCGAATTCGAGTTATGTGCCGTTTTCCAGGAGTGCATGTACAGCATAAAGGAGGGAAACCTGTACTCCCAGCCAGTCTGTTGCCTTCCGTCAGGAACGCTTCACACGCTCTCCTTCCGTTTTAAAGGCTGAGGCGGAAAATACAGAAACAAGTTATGGTGTAAAAGAGGAGGAGAGGCTTTGCACCCCGCGCCTCCCATGCCGCAGATATCCCAGCACGTAGCTCCATCCTCCTTCCTGCAGGAGCCCGGCGCTCGCGCAGGCTGGCCGTGTGCTGACACCTAGCTGTGCAGTTGCGGCGCTGAGCCCTGGCGCAGGGGAAGCTGATTGGCTGCAGCCATCCTAGCCCACCTCTGCAGCCACCTGGGCCCGGAGCCGAGGGGGCCTGCCCGCGACTGCGATCCTGGACAGGGGCAGAGCTGCTCTCTCATGGCCCAGCAGGCCCCCTGCTTCTTGCTGGACGGAGCCATCCCCACCCTCCCTTACTTAGTGGGGGGAAACCCGTGTGGGGTTACATTTAATTAACGCCCCCATCCTGCTCGTGGTCCAAGGGGCGAGGCGGCGCAGGGACACCTTCCCCTTCGCCGGGGGGCTGAGGCCTGTTGCGGGAGCTGAGAACCGCACCCGAGCGGACTTCGGCCCGGCACTGCCTCACCCCGGCTGCAGCTCGTGACCTCGGGCGGGAGGG